CCACATTTAACTCGAATACCGGGCAATAAAGGCGTAGCACTTGGGGTTGATTTGTTTTCTTAAGCTCATTCGTGTCTGTGGCCTTACACTTTTATTTTTTCACTTCTTTTTTCATGTCTTAGCACAGCCAGGGTTAGTAGCAAATGCACAAACAAAGCGCTCATCATATGATAATTATTATCTTTAACCCATTTGAGCAGGTATGACTTTGTGGAATTCACAAAGTCACACATTCACACAATTCACATGAATCTACACAACCTGTTATAATAAATTTACGTTTGTTAATGCATTTTTAACAAAGAAAAACAGATGCTATTGAATAACTCTGTCACATGGTGCCTGATTTTTCCCAAAGAAGAATTTCCAAACTCTCCTGCCGAGGTTCATAGCATGTGCAGAAAAGAGAAAAAAGAAGATGGCACAGATATGCAGACACACATAAACGTGTTGTTTTCCATACACACAATTCCAGCGTGGTCTCAATCAGTGACCTGAAAAACTGCAAGTGCAAAGAATTCAGTTCACCTTTTTATGGTTTCTATAACAACAAGCCTATTGAACCTCTCCAGGTCTGATTAACATTGTACCATTTTACATAATCTTCATCACTTTTCATTAATCAAGGAAGAAGCAAACATCACCTGAATAAACACGAATGTACAGTATGTAAATGAAGCTCTGTCCTAGATTGGTTCATCAAAACTCTCCATGGGTAATCGGATCCGTTATATGAATGGGAAATAAGGATTTTGGGGGGGATTTTTTTTTCCAAAGCACTCAATCCAAAAGTACACTGAAATATAACCTTTAAGTTTCACACTGAAATCTGTAAAATTAACAGACTCTCTGTACCTGATAATGGCCTTCCATCAATCAATCCATCCATCCTTGACTTCAAACAATACTTATGTGATGGTCAGAACATTTCGGTGCAACTGTTAAGCTTCACAAAAACAAGTTGCCACACTTCATATAGCCTGCAACAAAGTCAGGAGTGATGATGAAAATGTGAATCAAATCAGTGAAATCCATCATCACCCTCATCATAGTCACATTTTATAGAGATGACTCTGTCCTTAACCACCTTTTAGTTGTGGGTTGAGCCTTTCAAGACTGAACTAATTAGAGAAACCCTTCAACTTTATCATTGAATGGACTCCAGCTATGGGGATTAAAGAGCTCTGCAGACCACCTACACTGCAGGTCTCCAATTAACACACTGCCTATCTTTTACATCACTTCTTATTGGCCTTGTAATGAAGTAACAAAAAGACTGATTAACAGCATGTACCTGCCTACTGCACCCCACCCATCCCACCACCAGCCCGATGCTCACAAAAACCAAAATACATCTTTCATGTATGGGGCTTGGAACAGTGCTCTGTGGAGAACCTAATTTCCATGACAACAGGGCTAAGGATCAGGGTGGAGAAACTGTCAATCCAGAACAACTCTCAGAGTTCCTTGATACACAAGAGCACTTATGAGTGAAAAGAAAGCAGAAGCGGTGGAGGTGGAAGTGGAGGAGTCACGGTTGCTTTAAAGAAAAATGGAGGAATGGGTAACGAGTCTGCTCAGGATCACTTATCCTATATGTATTACGAGCTGTTAGACCTGATGTACGTACACATAGATGTAGACAGTGTGTCCATGGTGTGTATGGTGGTGTTATATGAAAGACAGTGAGATACAGCTTAGAGTGCTCTCTAATGGTACGTGGGGAAAATTCCATTTTAACTTTTACATTTTCAATTGAATAAATCTGAATCATACCATGCCCAATTAATACAACATTTAAACCTAAACATCTTTCTAAACATCTCTCCTGTGGTGGAAGCTAACAGTGAAGGCCTCTGCTGCTGTATTCTAATGTTGGTCATCATGGTGGTACTCAGAGAGATCACTGTTGTGGTACAGAGGAGAAAAAGTTGGAGAACCACTGGCCTAAGCCAATACGTGATGAGATCTATCCAAAATTAAACACACAAAAATACATATTACCCACTGGAGTTAATAGATAGCTACACTACTACTACACTACTGCAAAATAATTAAAATGTAATTACAAACACCGTTTTGTTAAAAGCAAAGGACAAACACATTGTAATTGCAGTGTTACATCACACTGCTCCAATAAATCTATTATAAGACCCCAGCTAATACAAAAGTTGCAAAACAATTACTGACTCGACATTAGTACTCTAATGCTGGCTAGCTCATCACTGGCGTGCTATGAAATCCAAGAACAGATCTGAAGGCCACCTACTCACTCTCAAACACAAAACAGTTAGAACAGACATCTGGACTAAAAACCAAGGGATTCCAGTCCGTATTTCTTAACTGCATCTATTGAAGTAGAATGAAAACGTTCAGTTAACAGGCCTGTCTCCAGTGCAACAAACTACCAAGGTGAGTTGAAGATGTGGTCAGCCACTCTCAATTTTGAAGCACCCCTCATTCTGTGTATCTGATTAAACACATTGCCTTTCCCTAATGCAGTTATTTATCTCTTCTCTCTTTATATCTGTATAAATAACCAATGCTTACAGGGTGGGGCAAACACAGCTTCCACCATGTATAGGGTGACACTGGCTCTTTTTTTATGTCATGGGAGCAAACAAAAGCGTGGATTGTTTCAGGGTCACAGGTTGTCGTCAGACCCAAGACCCTGCAGCGCCGTGAGGACCAAACTATAGAGCTCTACTGTCTCTCTGCAGAAACAAGAAGTCAGCAGGCAGTTCTTTGTGACATCAATATGTCACACGTATAGTGTAAGAGGACAAAGAAGAGCTGTGAACGTTGTCTCAGCCTAATAACTATTTCCTGTGCAAAAACAAATCAGGGACTTTTACAATCATAAAGAATACTTTTTACAAATGTATTTGTCAGCAAATATTAAATTATTCTTGGAAATGTTCATCTTTGATGCATTTCAACAAAATATTACATTTGTAATGAATGTAAATGCACCACAACATGATGATTGGGTTTAACTGTCGATTTTCATTTTAAAAAGTAGGTAAAAAAGCAATAGAGTAAAAATCTTAGATGACATCATCGAGTTACCGGGATATGGCTGGATTTCTGGTGTTTGGCTATGGATGAGTCATCCATGTTTATGAGGACTCTGAGTGCACTTTCCCTGCAGAGAACATCAGGGCTGTAACATGTGATCCATTAGAAACACTGATTTATTGATGAAGATGCATTGGTCACAAGATCATCAGCAGCTCCTCTTATATGGTAGACATCTCATTTGCTCTCCTTTTTTTATGGACTTGTGTGAAATGTACTGAAGCCTTTAATAGAGCTTTCATTCTAAGCTTAAACAGGAGCGCTGGAGAGAGGAGACAAGGGCGTTGTGCGGCCGCCTCCTGACTCTCTGAAAACCAGATCAGCTTAATATCTCCATACATCATCTCATTAGATATGGAAGTGTCCCCAGGCTTTCAATAACAAATTAGATTACAGATGGATATGTGATGGATAATTATATTCAGCACAGCTTGGATGGTATTAGTTACACACTTGATAGGACAGGTGGAGACCTGTAGAGATAATCGCATCTATAAAACAATTTCACCAGCCAATATTCACTGAGAGGAAGACAAAAAGAAAGAACATTATATAGCTTAATATACTTATATTTATTTATGAACATATACAGTATATATATATATATTCATTGAAAATATAATTTTTTTTTTCTGAAAAGCACCATTTTTTTTTTTAAACTGTGTTTTTGGTTCACTTTCTATTAAAAATAAATTAAACAGGTGCAATAGTTTTTTCCTAAATTTAAACAAGCCAAAATGTCAGTTCATATTTGACATGGCCATATAGGCACAAGAGGGTAGGACCTAGGATAAACAAAAACCTAACCAAAAACCTGAAAGACTGGATCATTCTAGTGATATAATATTTGAACAATCTCCAAATAAATAATTAACCTTTAACCTTTTTGTCGTTTATTTACAGATGGGTCAAGTAACAAGTCGACTTTTAGGCTCATGAAACTTTACACTATTCCTTTACTGCTTGAGCTGTTTTGATGAACTGAGGGAATTTGCTACTTCCATGCTGTTGTTCACATCTTCAGGCATTTAATTAAGGTTTTTTTTTAAATAAGGAGCCAAATCGAGAGTTCTGCCTTAAAACCAATTTAACCTTAATCCCACAGTAGGTTGTACAAAACCTCAAAGGAAACGTGGAAAAGTCAAGTGGAAAAAGCAACTGAAAAACTAACTTTAAAAAGAAAATTGGTAAAAAAAAGATACCGGGACATTTTCTCAAACTCAAAGTAGCATGGCGGATAAGTGCACTGCAGCGGAGCTGCTATCGACCCAGAAGTGTGTGTTTTTATCTGTAATAAATGAGAAAGCTGGTGTGTGTGTGTGTAAGCACGTCTTCACGCGTGTGTTCACATTTGAGTTTGGGCGTCTGACACACCGTTTTCAAGACTTAAAAGTCCGGCATCCACATCAGGAGAAAATTCTCATGATGAAAACCATGAATTGCAGTGTTTACTCTACATATATCATTACCACCACACTCATTTACAGTACATATAGGTTACACACTTGATAGGACCACCACACTCATTTACAGTACATATAAATATAGAGCAACCAAATCCTGACTTGGTGTGAGAATGGTTTTGCGAGATACACAGAGTCGGCAGGAGAATTATTTTCCTGTCTCAAATGCACACTCCTCTACTTATCTCTCACGGGCAGATGTGCATGTTCCACATTTCTTTCTTGTCTATCTCACACACATTGACAAAGCCACAGGTATGTGTGTAAGAGAGAGTGTGTAAATATAATGAAAGAGTGACATGATTGCTCATCAGTCACCTTTGATAAACACCACAGAATTTTAGAGTCAGTAAGTGTAATTTGAAAATTAAACTGTCACTCAAACGTTCCAGTCCACTCCAATTTTTATAAAGCATATTTAAAGTATTTATTAATAAATAAAAACCACAAGTAGATATATTCATTTGAATCATCCATACTGTGTCAAAAGCAATAGGCAACAAATATATTTTCTATTCATTTCTATTTAAAATAGTCTTTCAGTCAAAGACATTGGTTACACAGATACTAGTCAGGTCTTCAGCTGAGCATAGAGTGAACATTTGCATTTCTCTGTGGCTGCAGCAATGAAATAAATAAATAAATGGATGCTACAAATGTGGTGACCACACTTATCAATTAAGAAATCTTCATCTGTGAGGCTGTAGTTTACTTCTGCTAAGACTGAGCTAACAGAGGGGCACCAGAGAGAAGCTGCTTTTATTTACAGAGTTTCAGTTTTTAGCATTAGCCTGTTAGCTAGATAACAGCGACACAGAGAAGGTAACTTTGTTTCAATTATTATTTTTTCTTTCCTAGACATGATTATTGTTCTGTTTTACAGATATTCCAGCAGAGGCTAACTGAATAAGATTCATGTAAACTAGTTAAAGCAACAAATGTAACCAATATTATCTTACATTATTATTTGAAGCTAAACTTAACTGTAAGCCGAAAAAAGGAAAAAATAACAGAACAAGCTACATAGTGATAATAACTTTTTCATAACTTACTAACAATATATTATAGAGTAATACTGATGTGTAATACCTGGTTTTGTATACTAAGAGCTTTTACTCAGCTATATCTTCTTTTATTTTATTTCTATTATTTTCTATTATTTTATTATTTAGGTTTATCACCAAGTAGCTTTGTTATTTTCGATTAATGCTGTCAAAACACAGATTTTTAATATTAGATGACTGTTAGTACTATAATTAAGTAAAATACTCCAAGTTATACTAGATAAATGTAAAATACTCTATATGTGGTGACCCCTGAAGGGGAAAGCTGGAAGAAGGAGGTAAATGGCAGCTAGATTTAAGAAGCCAAACTAAGTTTAAGCAATTTTAAGAATAATTAAAAACTGTTGAAATCGTAATGTTTTCAACTTTGTGATGGATGTATTTAAGATGACATAATCGAAGTTTGGTACTTTAACCTTTCAAAGATATTGTTGTCTTGCCCTGTATATTGTGTTTTAGCATTGCTAATCTCAAATGCTAAATTAAGTTGTATGGATCAAGGTACTACTACTTTAACAGCCACTGCTACACTGCATGCCAGGCCAGTTTTCTATAAATATTCTATGAATGATGTAAATCATAACATACATCTCTTTAATTGAACTGAATTAAATATTAATGTTGTGTTAGCAGTGATTATAGATCAAAGCAGTGAATGCATTTTTGAAGTATGGTAATTGGCCTATAAAGTGGAAACTGAAATAGAGACAGATGAGAAGCGCATTTGATCTAAGAGCAAATTTATACTGACACAAAATGTTCCCTCTATGTTGGCGGTAATGGAGGTAAAATGAGCTTTTTTCTGTGCAGATCAAACAACAACAGCATGGTTTCATAACAGTGAGATTCAGATCCTGGATAAAAAAAAGACTCTGGAGTTCAGCTTCTAATAACTAAGGGACAGCTTCATTCAATGTCCTTCTTACTTTTTGCTGCATTAATCGACATCTCATTCAGGTCTGGACTTCCTCAAACAACTAACAAAACTGAATGTCTTCTTAAACTTACTAGTACACTTAACTTATAACTTCCATTTCCTCTGCTTGAAAGCCTTTTTAAACCCTTTAGACCAAACCCAAAACTGCATTAAAATCACTTTTTATTAACCTTGCTTTATATTTCTAACCCTTATGTCAAAATGAAAAAAAAAGTCCTTCTGCTATGCTCACTAATGATGATGTTAGTGACCAGACACCAATTATGTTACTATATACTATTGATATTGTGTTTCCTGTTTTTAGGAATGGATAACAGAAAGAGGGCAGCTGCATCATACAACTCTGGAAAGCTTGCTATTTGGTCCTCTTCATTCCCTAGGCAGCCGGCCAGGGTTCTGATTGTGGAAGCACTGCCACCTTGGTGGTCCGAGACAAGCTCGGTCGTGTGCGATGCTCTGGATAACTTCTTGTCCCTTGCCTGTAATCTGGACGGACCACGTAGGATGCCGCTACTCAGCCTGTATGCCATCAACAGGCA